TCCCCTCCTCGTCCAGTTTTAATGTCACCAATGGCAGATCTGGCAGAGAATCCAGGATGGAGGAAGGCAGAGTAGCCAGGCCCTGGCCTTGAGCACCATGGCCAGAACCCAGAGGAGCTACAGGTACCCACTGTCAGCCCAACTCTTTCTTTCCTACCTCATCCTGGCAAATGGCTTGGGTGGAGCGGGGGTCAGGGGCCAGCCCCTCATACCCAACTGCCTCCTGGCTGACTTTTAAGATGAAACCAGCAAATAAGGTAGGCTCAGGCCAATGAACTGTCTCAGTCTCACCTCCTTCTGGAAGTCCTCCAAGCTCAGCTCAACCTTTTCTGGGCTCCTGTAGCTCTAAGGTACAGGCTGAAAGGAGCCAAGCAGCCCTTGGGTGTTTCCTGCAGCCTTGGGGCCTGGCAGGGTTCTCTACTGCTATTCATGAGACACCCCAGAAGTTCCCCAGCCAGTGGGAAGCATCTCCACCTGAGGGACATCTTAGGACTCAGGAATGCAGTCCGTTTACACCCACTTTACAGGTGATAAGACTGAGGCTCAGAGAGGAGCTTGCCTTAGGTCACAGCAGGATTACAAACAAATGAACACAACAGCCAGGAAGTTTTCTGAGCCTAAAGCTAGGAGCTTTTTAATCACAATATGTCCCTTGCATCTGCAAGGCAAGGTGCTAGGCAGAGGAAAGGAAAATGGGACCAGGATGACCAGGATGATCCGTAACAATGTTGCTGTTGGTCTCTACAGACAGGAGCTATCAGTGGTGTGCTCACACTAAGCAGGTCACACTTGGTGTCTGTGAGATGGGTACAGGTTTAATTCCCATATAACAGGGAAAACTGAAGCACAGTGACGTTACTTAACACCAGTAATTAAGTGGGAGAGCAGAACTCAGCCGTGCAGGCCTGGCCCTGGCCCCCACAGTGCTATCTAACTCTGCAGCTACTCTGAGGCATGGCTAACCCACACCCCTAGCCCATGATAAATATGGCATTCAACTTCATTTTGGGGTCCCCTTGTCCAAGGCTATCCCATAGTGCTGCCTTCCCCAATCCCAGGAGGTGCCACCAGAGGACTCTCTCGGGACACCTAGGCAGGTGAACAGTCCTCTCCCAGGATATGAAATCAGGAGTCAGGCTGGCCTCCCTGCCTCCCTGTGTGACCACAGACCCCTTCCTCTTTCTGGTCCATCATTCTGCTCTGTCAAACAAAGACTTCCATGAAACCAAATCCCCATCTGTCCCCTCCCCAACAACTGTCACACGAATCTAAATGGGTGAGACACTCTCTTCCCAGGGGTAGTTTCCTTTTAACAGGTGGCTCTGGTAACAGAAAGACACCAAGAACCCAAAGAAGTACACCTGCTCAAGACAAGAAGCGAGGACGACCCAGAGTCCAGGAAGCACCCACTGTAACCCCCGGAAGGAAGCACACACTTTAGAGCCAAGCACTGTTGCAGAAACCATAGGGGTGTAGGCTTCCCTAAGGCCCCATAACAGTGGTTTCTCTGCCCCAGCTTATTAAGGAAGCTAAGTTTCAGGGCCTGCTTCCCTGAGGACTTGTTGCTGCTGAGAGCAGGGGTTCTACCCTGGTCTGTCAGAAGGCCAAGACCAAGGCACTGATTCTAAGTCCTTGCTCTGTAACATCCTGCTTCTCCTTTCTCCCCCACAAAAGAAAACTGACATAAGAATTAGTAATGCAGCTAATAGCACCTACTTCAGTTCTAGGCCAGTCTGAGTCGTAGCCCAGCACGCTGCTTTCTGGTTGTGCTACTTTGAGTTCCTTTGCCTCTCTGAGTCAGTTTCCTCCTATGTAAATGAAGGTAACAGGACCTATCCCGGAAGGCTGCTGTGAATAAAATATGACTTAATTCGTACAAAGCAGCTAGAACCGCACTCAGTACAGAACACACACATATCCAAGTGCGAGACAGCAAAGGTGCCCCGGGATCATGCTACATATGAGCCTTCACAGGAGGAAAGGCTGGCATGGAAACAGCCTCCCCAGCCTGGACCAGTTCCCTCAAAGTCTACGATGTGGGATGCTCAGAGAGTACAGCTATGAGCAAGCTCCTTTTCCTCTCTGGTCCTCAGACAACTCCACTTGCAAATGGGATGCTGAGGGCTGCCTGTTTAGTCCTTCAGGATTCTATGAATGAAGCTGCAAAAGGTTCCCAGTACCCATGACCACTCCAACGATCCTCAGCTTCCATCACAGTCAGAGGCACGAGGTCAGCGTGGACCTTTAACATAAAACGGGAGCCATGGGATTTTTCTAACCCTGCTTCAAATGGGTACGAAGTGATAAGGGTCACTGGTGTACACACACACACACACACACACACACACACACACACACACACCTACCTTCTTCAGTGTCCAGCAATACTTAGCAAGCAAGCATTCAAGAGCAGGGAGCAGGTGCCTAGGCTACTGCACCTCCAAGCAGACTGGTGGACCAGCAGTGTTACACCGTTTAGGGTCAAGACAACAGTTTCTCTACCCAACCCAAAGCTCCTCAGTCACAGCCTGCACAGTTAAAGGCAGGTTACTTTGAGTGCACAGCTAAGTCTGGAAGGCAGGGCTGAGGAGACGCCTCAGTGAGTAGAGACCTTGCAACACAAGTGTGTGAATCTGAGTTCAAATCCACAGAGCCCACAGGAAAGTCAGGTCTGGCACCTCATTGTCTGCAATCCCCACTACTCCTCTTGTGAAATGTGAGGCAGAGACCTGAGAATCCCTGGAAACTCACAGGGCAGTTAGTCTGGTGTTCCAGAGGTGAACAACAAAGAGACCCTATCTCATGCTGGACGGTGAAAACTGACACCCAGGGTTGTTCTCTGGTCTCCCAGCTGGTGGTTACTCCAAGAGCCCAGCAAAGGTCCCTGACTCAGGTGAGTCACCATCTCACCCCACCCAGGAGAGACAGGGGCATGAAATTTCTGACTTTTATGTTTTGTTTTCTCATCCAAAACAAGGTCTTGCTATACAGTTCAGGCCTGGAACTAATAAATAAATAAATAAGTAAATAAATCATAAAATCATCCCGTCTCAGCCTTCCAAATGCTAGGAATTACAGATGTGCACCATGGTGCCTGGCTTAGGAGATGGGCTTTTGAAGCCAGCTCTCAATGTGGGCTCTTCTCCCAACTTGGCTATCTCCTAGTGATGCTCTCTGCACCCATTTCCGCAATTGTACATGGAGATGGCACTGGCTACGTTGCAGATCACTGCCAGGATGCACTGGCTGTGTGCAGTTATGGTGTGGAGGCTGGCTCCTCAGTAAGCTTCCACTGGTGAAACTAAGTTACACAGGCTGCCCAGACTCTCATCACCGTGACTTCTTCCCACTTCCGCTAGCTACAGCCGTGTTCCTCACTCACCATGATGTGAAACCTGTCACACCTCAGACATAGCAGTCAGCATGTTACCTTTCTGCTCAAGCACTGCTTTCTAACTTCTGGACACTGGTGCTAGTAGACCTATGAAGTCCTTTCCCCAGGTGTGGAGTCTGAGGCTGGGGAGGAAATGACCCAACACCATGAACCAGGTGACATCACCAGAGATCATAATATATTAGCACTCCTCACAGAGCTGTTACGAAAGGGTAGGTGCTACCGAAGTGTGGCCGCCATTCATCTTTAGCTTCCATCACTCCTGTCAGGAGAGGCGGTTCCCCAGACCAAGGGTGGAGAGAATTCAGACCACCAAAAGAAAGAGGGGGCCGGGCACCAGACAAGATGTGCAGGGAGCCTGGCATGGGTTGGGCGGGAAGACCTGCCCTGCCCTTCTAGCCTCTGACAGGAGGGGCAGAGTGAGTTCCCTGCAGGAAGAGCAGGCCCACCTGCCCTTCCACCCTCCCCCTCCAGGCACACATATGTTGCACAGTATACACACGGGATTCTTACCAATGCCTTTGCCATGTCTGCCATCACCACTCAACATCTGTTTCTTGGAGGGGTAAGTCTAAGGCTGTCTCTGATCCCTCCAGGAGTCCTCGGTCCTTCACTCTGCTGACCAGTTCAGTTTGCCTGGTTGACTATTGGATCTAGTGCCTCACTGGACAGAATCTGTAAGGGCTGCAAAGCTGGCCTTAGGGACCAGGACTCTCCCTGACTCTTGTTGTTTCCAAGAAACCACAGCTTGTGGGCAGAGACAAGGGGTCCTCCACTGGGGTCAAGGGCCACGACCTGATCCCAAACAAACCCATTGTGGCTAAAGGCCCAGGATGCATTGGAATTCCTCCCCAGCACCCAGCTGCCTCCTTGCTTCCCTTTCTGGCTTGGATCACAGATTGTTCCCACAGGTGCATCCACAAACCCAAGTTACCTGGTGCTCACAAAGGAATCACAACACTGAAGTATAAAGCCATTCACCGAGCATTTAACAGTTAGAGACCCTGGGCCCCATTCTACTGAGGTTCAGACATCAGGTCCCCCCCCCCAGGCTCACACCCCTGCGCAACCCCACCCACTGGGTGCCCATTTGGCAGACAGCGAGGCTGAGACACAGAGTGGATAGGGCATGGGCAGCAGCCGAACCCGAAGGCCGGCCAGAGGCACCTTCAGGTTCTGGACTCTCCCTGCCACATCGTCTCTCACTCGACATCTCGGAAGCAAGCACCGGCCTGGGCCGAGGGGGGACGCCAGCGGGAGTCCTTCTATGCTTCTAGGGTGAAGACTCCCAGGGCTGGGCCCGGCTAAACCCTAGGGCAGCCCGGGGGCAGAACCCGGGCGACAGAGCCCCTCCGCGCTCACTTTGGGCTTGTTGAAAGCGGGCGTCTGGGCCATGGTGCCGAGTGTGCACCCGGTGTTGCTCCCTCCGCTGAAGCTCTCCGGGTCCGCGATGGCTCGGTGGCGGGGTCGCTTCCCGAGGGCTCTCAGAGAAGGCTGATCGCCACGCTCTTTTTTACCGGGCTGCCCCGGCAGGTCCCGCCCACTCCCCGCCCACACTGGATAGTCCGCCTTCCAGGGCTCGGGCTCCGCCCTTGGCCCGCTGGCAGCCTTGGCGCCCATTTCCTGGAATTCAGGACCCCAGACCTTCCCGGCGGCTACACCCTAGAAAACTCCCAGGTGAGCCCCCAGAAGGAGTGACCCCAGTGTCTCCGCCAAGCTCTGGCCCCTTTCCGGTCCCTTCTGCACCGAGGCTTCAACTGTTGCCTGGGCGCCTACTGTGTGCAGGCCAGAGCTGGAGGCACCTAGCCCCGGAGCCTCTTGAGGCTGGAGTCTACGAGATAGACCCACTTGTTGCAGAATCCTAAGGTGACAGTGTGTAATTAGGGAGATTTAGCGGAGTTAACGGCTGGAGCTCTTCGTGTGAGGGTAGGTGGGCCGCAGAGGACATTTCCTTATGTGTGTGAGAGACTCTTGGAAGCTAAAACTGAAAGGACACCGGGGTGGCTGGAGACACACGGGGCGAACAGAGAGACACAGAGTTTATCTCTCCCAGGGCAGCTACGCTGGAGAAACAAGACCTATTCAGAATGCTCACAATGACTCTGGAGGGAAGCACACCAGACTGTCTGCTCCACAGAGTATGACGCACAGTAAAGTGAGTTCGGCTACAAAGCGCCCGCAGGTGCAGACACAACACCGAATGGGGACAGAAGGAATAAGTGGAAGAAAACTTCATACACACTGGTCAACTTTTAGAACAGAGAACAACAACACCAAAAATATGTGTGTTTAGCTGTTTGCATCAGTGAGGAGGAATGTAAAGCTAGGGAAACATACACTTAAGCCTAAGCACTGTCATCCCAGGGGTGGGACAGGATAAATCTGTGGGAAGTCTGGGGCACATAGAAACATCAGTTTAATGACAGTATCCCAGAACTAGGCTAGATGCAATGTCCACTTTTCGTCTGTAAATAAGCAAACCTATAAATAAGAGGGGGAAGAGGAGGTTGGAGAGCGGAGGCTGAGGCCAGCAGGTAGGGTAGAAGCTAAGTCATGTTATGTTTCACAGTGGGGTTTGGCCCTTCCCATGGGCCTGCTCTGAAGTAAGTGAAGGCTTTTCAGTGGTTTCCAGACAGCAGCAAACCTTTATTTGGAAAGATCTTCTAGCTACAAAATCTAGAAAGTTATCCAGGTTGACATCACAGGTGAGCTGGTTAGAGACATGCTGTTGGCTGAGAGGCAGGGGCGCTGTACTCTAGCAAGATTCTTAAACAACTTGCGTTGCACCTTGAGGTGAAGACACCTGGGCACCCCGACTTAAAAGGAAACATGAGAGGGGCTCTGAGGAAGGTGGGGGGCAGTGGGAACAGATGATAGAGGCAGAGCCATGCTGCATGTACGCCACGGAATCCGGATTTGGGATTGGGTTGCATGCGGGACTGACTGAGAGAGTGAGGGTTGGATCAAAATGGTCTTTCCAAGACAGGGTTGGTAATATGTATCTGTAACTTTAGTATTCAGGAAGCTGAGGCAGGGGGTGTTGGGCTATTATTGAGATTCTGTCTCAAAAAGAAAAATTCCTAACACATTGTAGCTCTGTGGGAGATTTGTCACTTTGGATACACAACACCACCACCCAATGTGGGCACACCCTCGGTATCCAGTGTCGTGGAAGCACTTTGTAAACATTATCCCATTCAATCTGTCACACACCCTGTGATGCAGGAACCATTATCAGTCTACAGATGAAGTCCCTGAGCCCGCAAGATGGCACTGCCCTCTGGACTCCAGGAAGATTAGCGTGTTGTAGAGAGTGCTGGTACTTAAATTCGGTTCTGACTCTATATCTGGGTCTGCACTATGACAGTCAAATCCTTCTACAAAGTCAGTCCAGCACATTAGAGAAAGCTGGGGCCATGCAGATGACTTGCTGTTCCACCAAAGGTGACAACTCTTTGCTGGTCCTGTCTTTGCCTGATGGAGTCTAGGTTCTGGCTTCTTGGCCTGGGAGGGCCTGAAGGTCTTGCTGGTAGAACATGGCAGAGGAAGCATCTAGACTATCTTATCTGAAGGGGTTTGGGGCTCTTTCAGCTTCCACTGGGGCCTCTTGGTTTTTCTCTCTGGGAACTTGGGCCGCCAGAAGACACTGTCATTGGTGATAAGTCTGTGTCCAGTTGGCTATTGAGCCAAGCCCCATCTTTCAGGCACCCCACCATCTGAAGTACCGTGAAGCCATCCTTCGGCAGACCAGCTGACTCCAATCAGTGCCCCGTGGAGCCCAGCTACATTCCTTGCTTGCAAAGCCCCCCAGCTTCTTACCTCAGTGTGCTCCATCCTAACCAGACCTAGAAAAGTTTCAAGATCCCAGACTGTCCAAATTCTGCTCTAGAGAGCAGACCAAACTTCCAGGAAGTAGCTGAGTGTGGGTTACAGGCCTGGTTACGTGAACCACCCTTCTGCCAAAAGCAACCTCATGGTGTACACAACACCGTGGACTCTTTTGCCCATGGCACAGGCAGAGGGGCAGAGGGTGACAGGATGGAGAAGCCAGGTCACTTATTTCCTCCACTCCCCTATTCATCAAAGAGAATTGTCTTTCTGGCAAGGCCATAACTTCTGGAGGGTTTCTCTCTACACATCCTCTCTAGCCCTTGTCTCTAAGACAATGACCCCAAGAACTGCACCATGTGTGGCTGCCCTCCCTGGTGTTAGGGCTTTCCTAGATCAGCTCCTGAGACAAAGTCTGTGGTTTATTTGAAGAGATCTAAGGAAGCACAGCCAGGGGATGTAGAAAAGGGACAGGGCAGTGACAGAACTCAGTAGCAGGCAGGTGGCCAGTCTGAGCTCTGGACTCAACCTCTGGCAGATGGTAGGGTATGCAGTTAATCCAACCAGGGGCCCAGGGAGTGAAAGGCATAACCTCACACTCCCCTCCGTTGTCAGGTGTGCTTGTGTGTTTATTTTACAGTACCAAGGCTCAAACCCCAGACTCCTTGAATGGCAGACAAGCATATTTCCCCCAGTTTCCTCTGATATTGTTCAAAACATCTTCCATTAACTTCTTGGTGCCTTGAGTTCAATACAACTTGGCTAAGCTTGCTCCAGTGACTGCATAGGACTTGCAGCAGAGAGACAGATCTGGGAACATCCAGGTGTCATTGGGAAGTAGTTTTCACCATGTAGAGGGATGTGCAGGTTACTTGGGCAGCACATAGGCATAGCCCACACTTCTGTAGTCAGCACATTTGTTAAACTTTCCTCCATTACTCTATTTGAGTGTGTCATCTGGTCCTTGCCAGGTGAAGCAGGCTGGTCTTGAGCTTCTTCATACAACACATATTAGGTAGAGAGCAGAGGAGGGATAGAGAGAGATGCTTTCCCTCCTAAATGCATTCTGCACACACTACACTGTTTGTTACTGTAGGTTCTCAGGCACACAGGAACCCTGGCTCTCCTAGCCTGCCTACAAAACCAAGCTCAAGTCTAACCCTAAGCAGGGCGGAGTGACTCATGCCTGTATTCCCAGTGCTTGGAAGGTAGAAGCAGGATTGTCACAAGATTAAGACCAATTTGGGCTACAGAGTGTGACTGTGTCTCAAATACATATAAATCCAATTCTAGCTAGTAAGTTGCATTATGGAAACTGCTTAGGAGTAATCCTTCCAGCTAAGCCAAGAGAGGCTTTGGTAATAACATTGCTTACGCAATAGCCAATCAGCTAATGTAACAATCTACTGGGCCAGGCTTTTAGTCCCAGCACTTGGCAGAGGTCAAGACAGGCAAATCTCTGTGAGTTCAAGGCCAGTCTGGTCTATGTGGTGAGTTCCAGGACAGTCAAAGCTGTGTAGAGATACCCTGTCTCAGACACTAAAACATTTTAAAGAAATTACAATCTTTCAATAGTAACTACTGTAGCAAAGACGATGTAACAAATTCTTGGCCCAGTACTGATCCCTGATCTCTGAGTGTGCTTCTGAGTGGGTGGTCCTCTCCTCCAGTCCTGCAGATTCTACAGCACTGTGATATCAAGGTCATGTTTGCTCCAGCCAGTTGGAAGAGAAGTCTGAGGTAGCCAGGCTCAGGAGAAGCTCATTTAATTCATTGTAGTAGCGGTCATTGTAGTAGGGTACAGGTGAATCTGGCCACAGAGTTGCAGGGGCATGGGGTGTGCTGGGAAATGTAGTTCACTAACATCTAAAGTCAGTCAGAGTAGGAAAGTATCTTCCTTGTGGAAGCCCTTTTGTTCCTCTTTCAGGAGACTTGCTGCCTTCTTCCTGAGGTCAGAAAACCCTGAGGGGGCTGAAGAGATGGCTCAGTAGTCAACAGCACACGCTGGTGTTGTAGAGGTTCTGAGTCTGGGTTCCAGCACCATGTAGGTTGGCTCACAAATGCCTGTAACTCCAATTCCAGGGGATCTAATGTCTTCTTTCAGCCTCTATAAACTGCTGCACTCATGTGCACCCCCACATATAGAAATAATTTAAAATAAAATAAAGAAGTCGTGTGAAGAGTAAATGTGGTGATTCCAGCATTTGGGAAGTGGGAGCAGAAGAACTGGGTCATCCTCAGCTACCTAGTGAATTTGAGACTAGCTTGGTCTACATGAGGCTTTTTCGAAAGAAAGAAAGGAAGAAAGGAAGGAAAGAAAGAAAGAAAAGTTTCCATGAGAAGAATGAAATCATATCATTAGAAGGAAAACAGATAGGACCAAAGATCATCATGTTAAATTAAATGAATGAAGTTAGGAAAGTAAGTCCCGTTTTCTCTCCCGTGCAGACTGTGGAGGAAGGAGGTTATTAGGGAGAAGACCGTCAGGATAAGAAGACATGGAGAAGGCAGCGATGCGTGTGATGGAAGCACACTGCATGTGTGTTCCCATTATTTTGTATGATTAATGTACACTAATTAAAGAAGACCTATGACTTGGACTAGCCAGTGGGGGTTCATTTTCTCTCCAGATCTCCAAGCTGAGGCCAAGGTCTGAGAAGAGTAAGCTTGTGTGTTGTGGGGTGTGTGTGATGGAGCTTTAGGGGACGCTCTGGTCATTGTGATACCCTAGGATAGAGGGAGCTGCATCTGAACAGAGTCAGGTTGATGGCTGCAAGTGAGGACTTCCAGGAAGCAATGTTAGTTCCCGGCACCTCCTAGCTTCATCCAAGATGTGTCCCAATGATTCC